TTGATTTAATTAAAAATAAAAATAGCATATCTTATATTTCTTTTTTTTTTAATTATATACCTAAATTTTAATTCTAAATTTCAAATTCCCCAACAATTCTACCTTTATAAGTGAGTTGCAACTTTATTCTTAAAACCCTACCTTCTTGAGTGGCGTGCACTTGCCAAGGTTGTTGTCTTCATTTTGCTGGGTTGTTGTCTAGGTTGTCGTCTTCATTTTGCTGGGTTTATTCTTAAACACATAATATGGGTGTCGACACCATGGGTTAATAGTCTAGAATCAAACTTTTTATTTCCTGTTTTGTGTCGATACGTAATTCAGGATGTCAATACTATACGTTCAGCGTCTAACATTCAAGTTTCTTATTCTGTTTCAAATCCTATTTTTGTTTCAAATCCTACTTCTATTCCAATTAGGGTTTCTAAAACCTTATAAATACCCATCCAAATTCAGAATTAAAAGAGCTTAGGAGGCTGGTGGCAATCCTCTTTTGGGTATTCTTGGAGATCAAGATAAAGATTTAAGAATTTGTTTATAATTTCTAAATCTTTTCAATATTTACAATTGTAAAAGAATATAAGAATTTATTTATAATTTGTACTTTTTTTAATTATGTTTCTATTTATTTAGATATTAACGTATTTTATATTTATGTTTTTTACATAATGTTAAATTTATTTACATTATCTCATATATTTAATAATGTTAAAAACTGATCAATCCGACCGAACCACACCGATCCAATTTAAATTGGATTGGTTTGGTTATCATATAATAGTGGATTAGATTGGTTTAAAAATTTTTCTAACTGATTAAATTGGATTGGATTAAAAAATGTTAAAATCCGAACCAAACCACACCGCGAACACTCCTAGTTCCATCCATATAATTAAAAAAAAAAAAAAAAGGAATTCAGTGTGTTTTTTAGACAATCAGGTTGTTTTCAATTAATTTGTGCATATTTTAAAACTAATATATTTTTAGTCGAACTTAAGTGGGCACACCCTCCACTTTGTGCAGCTTGGCGCATTCTTAGATACTGACTCTAATATTTAAACTTTGAACTTTACGCCTTAAACATTAAATTTTAAATTTTAAATATAAAATGATACTGACAGATGAATTTATCCTTGATTAGAATTTACTACCCTTGATCCTTGAGGACCATGACTGGTAGGATTGTTTATATCCAATACAAGTCGATTAATCCAACAAAAACTTATCTAACTCAATTGAAATCTAATCTAAATTGATATCAATTAGGATTGGTTTAAATTATAAAATTTTAAAATTAATATAAATTTTTTGGCTTATGATTTTACTTTTAAACATACTAAAGTTCCGTTTGGTATAGCGATTTTAAGGTAACGGTTAGTGGTTTTACCTAAACTGTTAAATATAGATATTTGGTAAATTTACATATTTCGAAACTGCTATAAATAAAGTGTTTGGTAAAATTTTTATTTAGCACTTTGAGACTAGCGGATAGCGGTTAGAGTCCAAACCGCTAGCGGATTGAAAAAGCTAGTTTATGTAACTTTTTGTACCAAACCGTTAACGGATTAAAATTTTTTAATTTTATTTACAAATTTATCCTTTTTAATTTTTTAATTTATGGTCACATTTTTTAATTAATAATTATCTAATAAATTTCAATTTTGTTTTATTACCTTTAATAACATTAAATGATTATAATATTTTTTGTACATTAATTTATAATTAAAAAATATATTATCTTAAAAAA